CGTTAACCACAGCAGTGACTCTTTATGTTCATCTTCAGATGAGAGATCTTCAGCACTGGTTATCAAAGAACTGTGAACCAGTGTAGATGATGTGCATTGAAAAATATTAATTCCACAACACGTGCTAATGTCATTAATGGGATGAACAGACAATCAAAATGCAGTGAAGTGTACACTTTTCTGTCCCCCATAACATCAGTTACACTGATCACCGATGCACCTACCTCAGGATGGGGATCCCATCTGAACAATGAATATTTTAGAACTGAGAGCAATCAGATTAGCTCTCAGGTCTTTTCTACTTCAAATAAAAAACAAAGCAGTTGAGGTAGTAACCTACACTAGGACAGCGTTATATTATCTAAACAAGCGATTCACTCTGTGGAATTATGCAGGGAGGCCAAGAGTATTTGTAAGGACTCTATAGAACATGATATGAATCCAGTAGCAATTCACATGGCAGGAGAACAGAACACTCTTGCAAATCATCTGAGTAGATCATCAGGTCAGATCCACAAATGGTTCTTGAAGGAAGAAGTAGTGAATCACGCCTTCTGTTTATGGGGGGAGCCCAATAATAGACTTGTTTGCATTCCGCAGCAACAGGAAATATCAGAGCTATTGTTCTAGGGCAGGCAGAAACAAGGAATCAGTATTGAACGCTTTTCTAATACAGGGGGGTCAGGCCTAAGGAATGCTTTTTCCTCATTTCCCCTCATTCAGAGAGTGATAAATGAGAAGACAGGACAAAACCAGGGTGATTTGAATAGCACCAGCATGACCCAGACAGCAGTGGTAGCCGGCTTTGGTACATCTGTCACAAGGATTAGTGGAATCTTTATCACTGATACTAGACTTGTTAATGCAATAAACAGGGAAGGTCTATCATCTGAACTTTCAGTCCCTTCTCTTGACTGCATGAGGAATAGACTTTCAGAGGTGCTAGAAGAAAGCCTTTCATTAGAAGTACACAATGTACTGTTATTTTTCTAGAAAGGAATTCACATGGATGTGCTACAGTCTCAAATGGAATAGGTTTCTATTGTGGATTTCCATGTATAATTTGGATCCTTATATGGCACCAATTACAATTAATGCTAATATATAATTATCTTAAGAAGACACCTCTTTCATTATCTTCAATTAAGGTTAATCTCTCAGCCATATCATGTATCTGTAGAGGGAAAATCAGTTTTTACTAATGATGAAATGTAGAGGTTTTTGAAAGGCCTTAATAATTTGTATCCTCCAATAAGAATTCCTGTGCCCTTCTAGGATCTGAATGTATTACTAGCATAAATAATGAGACCAAGGGACGTACTGGCCGCTGCTTCCAGCAGCTCCCATTGGCCTGGAGCAGCGAACCGCGGCCACTGGGAGCCGCGATCGGCTGAACCTGCAGACACGGCAGGTAAACAAACTGGCCCAGCCCGCCAGGGGCTTTCCCTGCACAAGTGGCAGAACAAGTTTGGGAACCATTGTGCTAGATCTTTAAGTTTCTTTAATACAGGGAAGAGGCCACATTCAGTTCCCATTACACACGTATCTAAGGTAATACGCCACCTTCATCTCCTTCACTTCGTTACAATTCTCAGAAAAGGGCATTTTGGGATGTATAGGTAGGGGCATAGCGAGCAGATCGAGGGACGTGATCGTCCCCCTCTATTCAACACTGGTGAGGCCTCATCTGGAGTACTGTGTCCAGTTTTGGGCCCCACACTTCAAGAAGGATGTGGATAAATTGGAGAGAGTCCAGCGAAGGGCAACAAAAATGATTAGGGGTCTGGAACCCATGACTTACGAGGAGAGGCTGAGGGAACTGGGATTGTTTAGTTTGCAGAAGAGAAGAATGAGGGGGGATTTGATAGCTGCTTTCAACTACCTGAGAGGTGGTTCCAGAGAGGATGGTTCTAGACTATTCTCAGTGGTAGAAGAGGACAGGACAAGGAGTAATGGTCTCAAGTTGCAGTGGGGGAGGTTTAGGTTGGATATTAGGAAAAACTTTTTCACTAGGAGAGTGGTGAAACACTGGAATGCGTTACCTAGGGAGGTGGTAGAATCTCCTTCCTTAGAAGTTTTTAAGGTCAGGCTTGACAAAGCCCTGGCTGGGATGATTTAATTGGGGATTGGTCCTGCTTTGAGCGAGGGGTTGGACTAGATGACCTTCTGAGGTCCCTTCCAACCCTGATATTCTATGATTCTATGATTCTCCCTTTGAACCTCTAGGTTGGGGTGGGCAAACTACAGCCAGGGCCCGCATCCGGCCCTTCAGACGTTTAAATCCGGCCCTGAACCTCCTGCTGGGGAGTGGGATCCAGGGCTTGCCCCACTCCGCACATGCTGTGGCTCCGTGCGCCTCCCAGAAGCAGCATGTCTCCCCTCTGGCTCCTATGCGTACGGGCAGCCAGGGGGCTCTGAATGCTGACGCTGCCCCTGCCCCAAACACCGCGCCCGCAGCTCCCATTGGCTGGGAACTATGGGAGCTGCAGGGGCGACATCTGTGGATGGGGCAGCACACCGAGCTGCCTGGCTGCGCCTCTGTGTAGGATCCAGAAGGTGGACATGCCGCTGCATCCAGGAGCTGCTTGAGGAAAGTGCCGCGTGGAGCCTGCACCCCTGATCCCGCTCTGATCCCCCTTCTGCCCTCCAAACCCCTTGGTCCCAGCCCAGAGCACCCTACTTCACCCCCATCCCCTCATCCCCAGTCCCACCCCAGAGACTCTACCCCCCAGCCGGAGCCCTCACCCTCCCCCCCAGCACCCCTGCTACCTCTTGGAGCCCCCTCCCGCTCCTTGAACTTTCATTTCTGGCCCCACCCCAGAGCCCACACTCCCAGCCGGAGCTGTCACTGACTCCCGCACCCCAACCCCCCAATTTTGTGAGCATTCATGGCCTGCCATACAATTTCTATACCCAGATGTGGCCCCCCAGGCGGCACCTCCCCTGCTCTAGGGAGCTAGTCTCTATTTAACCTATCTGTAAAAACTCTGTTTTAGCAATCCCTTCTGCCAGGAGCATAAGTCAATTGCATGCATGAATGCTGATCCACCGTTCAGTGTGTTTCATAAGGATAAAATGGTTCTTCGCACTCATTCAAAGTTTTTACCAAAAATAGTCTCCGATTTTGACATAGAACAATGTATAGTTTTACCATTTTTTCCCCCAAACTCCATACTCATGTTGGGGAAGTTAAATTACACACATTAGTTTATAAGGAGAGCATTATCTTTTTACTTAGGCCATGTCTACACTAGCACTTATGTTGGCAAAACGTTTGTTGCTCAGAGATTTGAAAAAAAACACACTCCTGAGCGACATACGTTTTGCCAGCAAAAGTGCTTATGTGCACAGCTCTATGTCGGCAGGAGATGCTCTCCCACTGACATAGCTACCACTGCTCATCGAACTGGTTTTATTACGTCAATGGGAGAGGTCTCTCCTGTCGGCATAATGCAGCTACACGAGTGCTCTTACAGCAGCACAACTGTATCGACACAGCTGTGATCCTGTAAGCTTGTAAATGTAGACATGGTGTTGGACAGGACTAAACAATTTAGACAGTGCTCAAGGCTGTTTATAGCTTAGGGACCAAAAAACAAGGGTAAAGCCATTTCTGTACAGATTCTAGGTGGGTTAGGTTAGGTATTTATGTTCTTATCCTCAATTTATAAGATTAATAAGAACATAAGGATGTCCATACTGGGTCAGAATGGTCAATCTAAGCCCAGTATCCTGTCTTCTGACAGTGGCTAATGTCAGATGCTTCAGAGGGAATGAACAGAATAGGGCAATTATTGAGTGATCCATCGCCTCTCATCCAGTCCCAGCTTTTGGCAATCAGAGGCATAGGGACATCCAGAGCATGCAATTGAAGGGATTATCCTTTCCTCAAGGCATCAAAACTCATTCAACTAGATCAAAGTCAACTTGCATGGCTTTCCCTAGACATATTCCTTTCTTAGAAACAAGTAGAGCAACAACTTGGGATACTGTCCACATTTTTACTACACATTACTCTTTAGACTTGGAATCTAGATTGGAGGCAAAGTTTGGTAGGGCAGTCCTGCATTCCCTGTTTAACTAGAACTCTGCGTCCTACCATCCCGGGTCAAAGTACTGCTTATTAATATATCCCATGAGTGGGAATATGCAGAAGACACTCAAAGGAAGAAACGACGGTTACTTATGTATGACCAAGGTTCTTTGAGATGGACTCTGCATAGTCTTACTCATGCCTCCCTTTCCCCATTGCTTCAGAGCCTTACTTACCAAAGGGCTTGGAGTCACGGGGGAAGGCACTGAGGCAGTGGAATGCCACACTCCTTTTTAAGCCTTGCCCTGGAATGTCCAGAGTTTGGGAGGGGGAGGGAGGCAAGGGAGGCATGTGGCTGCTCCAATGGCTACAGCAGTAGAATTTTACAGTTTAGGTCGCACCACTCGGAGCATTCCAATGAGTTGAATATGTAGCATCCATCTCAAAGAAAATGGGTTACAAGTAAGTAAGTTCATTTCTGGAGAACCACCTAACTCCCTATGGAGACAGTGTAACATGGATCATAAGTGTGATTATAGAATTCCTCAGGCTCTAGTACCCTTAGTTGCAGAAAAATCTTAGGCAGTGGGAGTCTGATGCTTCAGGAACTGTCTCTGGGGCATGGGTATCCAAATGTCAGGGCACGCTGCAGTTTGGCTTGCCAGCTCCTGGGTTGCAGAGGTGCTGGTAAGTATGGAAGAGGATTCTGAGATAGACCGAGGTTGGGGTTTTGTTTTTAATGAGACTTTTAATAGGGTGATTAAAAAAAAAGCTTTAGTCACACTCAGCCTTGCCATAAGTAGGTTTGACTCCCTTGTCCGAAAAAGAGTTTTCCTGTTTATCCCATGGCTGAATTTGATCAGTTGTGCTGAATGAAGGTCTGAGCTACCTGGTGCTGATGGTGTCACTTCACTTTGTAACATTTTCTTTCCTTCTCTCCTGCTTTTCTCTTCTGCTTGCCTCTCAGCAGAGCAGGACTCCTTCGTATACCTTGCCAAGAAGCGGAAACCCTGGTTATATCATTGGGGCACCACTCTTGTCTCTAAACAATGGTGCCAGGCAGCAAGTATCCTTTCTGATAACAGGTTTTACCTGTCACCGTCACATTCTAGCGTAGCTGTACCCTTTAGATTTTCGATTAACTGGGGAGGTGTTACGTGAGTGTCACATTGCAGCCTTTGTCTAACCTTTCTCTTGGGGATAGTGGGAAAGGTTCTTCAATGGGGGTCTCTAGGCATTCCTATACACATGAAACACCCTCCCTAAGCTCATCCATTAGGTCATCACCCTCTCCCTGTTCAACTCCCTCCTGAACACCCACTTCTACCATCACTCCTACAAGAAATTAACCTGCTGACTATAGCAACATTGTGAGTACTAAGGAATATCTATGTAGTTAACACAGTGCTTGTTTGGTTTTTTGGGTATCTGCCAAGAGGTAGCCATGTTCCACTTCAGGTGCTTTCCTGTACCCTGTGTCCATTTCTCTGTATATTTCTTCATAGCAAGGACCATGTTTGGGAAGCACTGGAAAGCACTACTGGAAGCAAATAACTGATAATAATATTGAAGGTGTCTTGACTATGACTGGATTAGAATCATGTATAAGAGTTAAGAGGGATTTTAGGGATTCTCTAACTGGTTGAGGGTGTCGCTGGCATGTTTGGGTGGGTATTTCTTTGGTCACAGTGGCTAACTTGGTTAGGGGGGGTTAGGTACATGTGCTACAATAACTGGCACTGTTGGTAGGAGGTTTCTACTAATTAAAGGATTATCTTGTTGAGGACTGGTTGGGTAACCCATGCTGTTTAACTTCCCTTCTATTTGGCTTCTTGACACATAGCCCCTTCCCTCAGGTGACTATCTTACAGAGCCAGGGTGATGGAATATGCTCTCAGACTCTCAGGTACAAGGTACAGTTTGGAATGAATGTGAGGACAAGCTGCCAGCTCAGGTAACAATTTCCACCATTCCTTCCTCCCCAATCCTCAGACAAGTTTGCAAGTAGCTTGGGTAGCACCCTCTCCTGTCATTGCCACACAGGGTTTGCAGGGCTCAGGTTGTGCTGTGGAGCTCATGTAGTACCTTCTTTGTAAGTCCCCATATTCGGCTTGGATAATCTCTCCCTCACATGCCTGAAGGCTTTGAGCAGCACTGGAGACAAGGAACCTCTACAAGAGAGAGCCCTCCAGAGCAGCTTGAACACTATTAATTGTGGAGGTCTGTTGGGGAGGTTCTGAGGCTCCAGTTCTAGGCATGTATTTCACATCACAATACAGGAATGCAGGGCTTGGATTCAAGGAGTAGTATTATAATAGTATTATAATTAGGAGTAGTGTTATAATTATCCTTGAAAGGATTAGATTTTTATTATTCAATATCAGCAAAGATCCATTTTGCACCATATACACACAAGCTGATGAAAAATATTTCCATTGATAATAATGGACATTTACAGATAGGCAAAGTAAAGTGCTATTTAAGAGTTTGATTTGAAGCTATTTACTTTGTATGTTTTGACACGTGATGTTGACAATGTGTGTTTTAATGGTTATAAAGCTTGAACTTTTTGAATCTCAAGATCTGCTTGTGACAGGATTGGTCACAGAGCTCCCCTTGGGTCTGTCACCTGATGTGCTGAAATTACCTCTGAGCCCATTTTCCCTGCCAGCTTGGGACTCCAGAACCCCACCTTGTTGACCCAGACACACTAGTCCATTTTACTCTGTATAAAGCTTATACAGGGTAAATTCATAAATTGTCCACCCTCTATAACACTGATAGAGAGATATGCACAGCTGTTTGTATTAATCACTTACTCTGGGTTTACTAATAAACAAAAGTGATTTTATTAAGTATAAAAAGTAGGATTTAAGTGTTTTCAAGTAATAACAGTCAGAACAAAGTAAGTCACCAAAGCAAAATAAAACAAACTCGCAAGTCTAAGCCTAATACATTAAGAAACTGATTATAGGTAATATCTCACCCTCAAAGATGTTCCAATAAGCCTCTTTCACAGACTAGAGCCCTTCCTAGTTTGGGCCCAGTCCCTTTCCCCTGGTACAGTCTTTGTTGGATCCAGCAGACATCTCAGGTGGTAAGCAGGAGTTTTCTCATGACTGGCAGCCTCCTTTGTCCTGCTCCACCCCCTTTTAAAGCTTTTGCACAAGGCGAAAATCTTTTGTCTGTGCTTGTCCCGACCCCCGCCTCATCAATGGAAAAGTACTAGGATTAAGGTAGATTCCAGTATCATGTGACATGGTCACATGTCACTGTAAGACCCCTAGTCTCCATTCTTCCTGGGGTGGCCTACCTACACAGGAAGGTTTGCAGGTAAATAAACCATTTACAACCAATTGTCCTAGTCAATGGGAGCTATCAAGATTCTAAACCACTATTAATGGCCCTCGCTTTGCGTAACTACAGTAGGACTTCAGAGTTATACTTCATATTTCTAGCTTCAGATACAAGAATTCAAATAGGAGGAATATATTCAGTAGGTTATAACCTTTGTTATGATACCTTACAAGAGACCTTTTGCATAAAGTATATTCCAGTTACATCATATTCACACTCATAAGCATATTTCCATAAAACATATGGAGTGCAACATCACACTGCTGTCATTGTCTGACCACAACCCTATAATTTTCCACAACTGTGCGAATTTAAATGGAGAAAATTGAGAAAAATGCTTAAAATAAAAATTGATTTCTGTAAAGTGTGTATGTGTGTGTATGTAAAATAACATAGGAATGGTCAGACCAATGGTCCATATACCACAGTATCCTGTTTTCTGATAGTGCTCAATGCCAGATGCTTCAGAGGGAATGAACAGAACAAGGCAATCATCAAGTGATCTGTCCTGTCTCCAATCCCAACATCAGGCCGTCAGAGGTTTAGGGACACCCAGAGCATAGAGTTGCATCCCTGCCAATCTTGGATAATAGCCATTGATGGACCTATCCTCCATGAACTTATTTAATTCTTTTTTGAACTCAGTTATACTTCTGGCCTTTAGCACATCACCTGACAACATGTTCCACAGATTGACTGTGCATTGTGTGAAGAAGTACTTCCTTATGTTTTGTTTTAAACCTGCTGCCTATTAATGTCATTGAGTGACCCTAGTTCTTGTGTTATGTGAAGGTGTAAATCACACTTCCCTGTTCACTTTCTCCACATCATTCATGATTTTATAGAGCTCTGTCATATCTCCCCCTTAGTCATCTCTTTTCCAAGCTTTTTAATCTGTTCTTGTGTGGAAGCTGCTCCATACCCCTTATCATTTTTGTTGCCCTTCTCTGTACCTTTTTCATTTCTAATGTATCTTTTTATGAGCTGGGGTGACCAGAACTGCAAGTATTCAAAGTGTGGTGCTACCATGGATTTATATAGTGACAGTATGATATATTCTCTCTTATTGTCTATCCCATTCCTAATGATTCCTAGCATCCTGTTTGCTTTTTTGAGTGCTGCTGCACACTAAGCAGATGTTTTCAGAGAACTATCCATGATGACTCCAAGAACTCCTTTTTTTTTTTTTTTTTGAGTGGTAACAGCTAATTTAAACCCCACCATTTTGTATGTATAGTTGGGATTACGTTTCCCAGTGTACATTACTTTGCATTTATCAACACTAAATTTCATCTACCATTTTGTTGCCCAGTCACCCAGTTTTGTGAGATCCCTTTGTAACTCTTCGCATTATCTTGAGTAATTTTGTATCATTGGCAAACTTGTCACCTCACTGTTTACGCCTTTTTCCAGATAATTTATGAATACGTTGAACAGCACTGGTCCACATACAGATCCCTGGGGGACATCACTATTTACCTCTTTCCATTCTGAAAACTGACCATTTATTCCGACCCTTTGTTTCCTGTGTTTTAACCAGTTACTGATCCATGAGAGTACCTTCCTTCTTATCCCATGATGGCTTACTTTGCTTAAGAGCCTTTGCTGAGGGACCTTGTCAAAGGCTTTCTGAAAGTCTAAGTAGACTGTTTCCACTGGATCACCCTTGTCCACATAGATTTTCTAACATAGATTTTCTAACAAAGAAAATAACAGAACGTCACTAGCTGTCACCTTCAGCCCCCAACTAAAACCCCTCCAACGCATTATTAAGGATCTACAACCTATCCTGAAGGATGACCCAACACTCTCACAAATCTTGGGAGACAGGCCAGTCCTTGTCTACAGACAGCCCCCCCACCTGGAGCAAATACTCACCAACAACCACATACCACACAACAGAACCACTAACCCAGGAACCTATCCTTGCAACAAAGCCTGTTGCCAACTGTGCCCACACATCTACTCAGGGGACACCATCACAGGGCCTAATAACATCAGCCACACTATCAGAGGCTCGTTCACCTGCACATCCACCAATGTGATATATGCCATCATGTGCCAGCAATGCCCCTCTGCCATGTATATTGGTCAAACTGGACTCATACGTAAAAGAATAAATGGACACAAATCAGATGTCAAGAATTACAACATTCATAAACCAGTCGGAGAACACTTCAGTCTCTCTGGTCACGCAATTACAGACATGAAGGTCGCTATCTTAAAACAAAAAAACTTCAAATCCAGACTCCAGCGAGAAACTGCTGAATTGGAATTCATTTGCAAATTGGATACTATTAATTTAGGCTTAAATAGAGACTGTGAGTGGCTAAGTCATTATGCAAGGTAGCCTATTTCCCCTTGTTTTTTCCTACCCCCCGCCTCCCCCAGACGTTCTTGTTAAACCCTGGATTTGTGCTGGAAATGGCCCACCTTGATTATCATACACATTGTAAGGAGAGTGGTCAGTTTGGATGAGCTATTACTTGCAGGAGGGTGAGTTTGTGTGTGGGGGGGTGAGAAAACCTGGATTTGTGCTGGAAATGGCCCACCTTGATTATCATGCACATTGTACGGAGAGTGGTCACTTTGGATAAGCTATTACCAGCAGGAGAGTGAGTTTGTGTGTGTGGTTTTTGGAAAAAAGGGAGGGGGGGTGAGAAAACCTGGATTTGTGCTGGAAATGGCCCACCTTGATTATCATACACATTGTAAAGAGAGTGGTCACTTTGGATGGGCTATTACCAGCAGGAGAGTGAGTTTGGGGGGGGGGGGGGCGGAGGGTGAGAAAACCTGGATTTGTGCTGGAAATGGCCCAACTTGATTATCATACACATTGTAAGGAGAGTGATCACTTTAGATAAGCTATTACCAGCAGGAGAGTGGGGTGGGAGGAGGTATTGTTTCATGGTCTCTGTGTAAATAATGTCTTCTGCAGTTTCCACAGTATGCATCCGATGAAGTGAGCTGTAGCTCACGAAAGCTTATGCTCAAATAAATTGGTTAGTCTCTAAGGTGCCACAAGTACTCCTTTCCTTGTCCACATGTTTGTTGACCCCCTCAGATAATTCTAATAGATTGGTGAGGCACGATTTCCCTTTACAAAAGCTATGTTGATTCTTTCCCAACAAATCCTGTTCATCTATGTGTCTGATTCCACTCTGTTCTTTACTATAGTTTCAATCAATTTACCTGGTACTGAATTTTGGCTTACTGGCCTGTAACTGCCAGGACCACCTCTGGAGCCTTTTTTAAAAATTGGTGTCATGTTAGGTATCTGGTACAACAGTTGATTTAAATTATAGGTTACATACTACACTTCGTAGTTCTGCAATTTCATCTTTGAATTCCTTCAGAACTCTTGGGTGAGTACAATCTGGTGCTAGTGACTTATTACTGTTTAACTTGTTAGTTTGTTCTGAAACCTCCTCTGTTGATACCTCAATCTGGTTCCTCAGTTCCTCAGATTTGTCACCTAAAAAGAATGGCTCAGATGTGGGAATCTCCCTCGCATCTTCTGCAGTGAGGACTGATACAAAGAATGGCCTTGTCTGTTTAGAGTATTCCTTTAGCACTTAGATCATCCAGTGGCAGGCTTCCTGCTTCTGATGTACTTGTGTGTGTGTGTGTGTGTGTGTGTGTGTGTGTGTGTGTGTAAAAAATGAATTCTGCCAAGCCTTCATTATAATGAAGTACTCTATGAAGTGATATTCCTACTCCATGATTTACAGGGTCAATAATTTGGTTCATTCTCTTCCTCGAGATACCCTCCTCCCCCAACAAACAAAAAAACCCCATGGTGACAGGATATCTGAGGCACTCCATCAGTCTCCTCAACATGCAGCAAATCATTGTCAGTGTTTTGTGCACTCTTCTTCTCCCTTTTACTTTCATGGAGGACATGGGCTGAATCCATACAGAATTGAACACTAACATTTCCAAAATTCCTCCATGCAGTCATTACCAAAGTAGTAGACACCTTGAAATGGGGTCATTACTGAAGAAAAATGCTCTGTATTAAGAACTGGCTGCTTCTCTGCTCCAAAGGACTCAGACTGCCAAAGATGTGTTCTGTCTCATTTCCAGCATATCCCAAACAATGGAGGATGGAAACTGTAGCTACTTTCAGGAGAAGCTATACCAGGCCCTCCAAGGGGTGAGCAGCCCACAGGCTCTGGCCATAATTGGCAGTGCTGAGCCAACCCAGAGAGATCAGTGGACCAGCCTCATTGTCCGGAACTGCAGCATGCAGGTAATAAGAATGGAGGGCCAACTCTGAACCCAAGTTCTTCTCTTCTGAGCTCGGCATGCAAGATTATATTGCTTTGGGGATCGTGGGAGTGGGAGAGAATCAGAGTTTTCTCTTTCTTCTTTGTTAGTAGCTCGCTACTGGAGTCAAACAGGGTACATATTACTCTGTGTGTCAGACCACTGACCTGGTTCAGGGGCCCTAATGCATACAAATAGATGTTGTTGTTCCACACTCATGCTGTTTAGAGGCTCCTCTTTGACTAGACAAGCAGGGAACGAGCAGGATTAACTTTTGTAGCCCCATATTACCCATGTATAAGTGGGTAGGAGAGGTCTAATACTGCAGCCAACGTTTTACTGGCCAGTTCTGAGACTGTGCAGTAGAGCTCACTCTACCCACTTCTTTGTTGCTGTTATAATGCTAGTATTGTAATCTTTGTGTTAATATTGGCCTCTGTCTGACCACTGAGTTATCCTGCTGAATTGTTGTCCTTTGAGACTTACCCTTATCCAGTGTTTGTCTATCTCAGGGCTGATCTACACTAGAAAGTTAGGTCGATCTAGCAACATCACTACCCTTTAGGGACGTAGTTAAGCTGACTTAAGTCCTAATATGGACAGCACTAGGTCAACCTAGCTACTGCCTCTTGGAGAGATGGATTTACTACAGTGACAGAAGAACCCCTTCTGTCGCTATTGTGTCTACACTGTAATGCACAGCAATGCAGCTGCAGCACTGCAGCTGTGCTAATGTAGCATTTCTAGTGTAGACCTAGCCTAAGATTAAGAGGTGACTGGATCATAGTCTTCAGGTAACTACATGGGGAAGAGATTTCTTATAGTAGGTGGCCCTATTCTAGCAGAAATGGTCAAAACAAGATCCAGTGGTTGGAAACTGAAGATGAACAAATTCAGACTAGAAATAAGGTGCACATCTTTAACGGTGGGGGTAATTAACTATTAGAATAACTTTAGTTAGAAATATGGTGGATTCTCCATTACTTGAAATTTTTAATCAAGACTAGATATCTTTCTAAAATATATGTTCTAGCTCAACCAGAAGTTATGTGCTTGATGCTAAAATTAGTGGGTGAGGTTCTGTGGCCTTTGTTATGCAAGAGGTCAGACTAGATTATCTTAATGGTCCTTTCTTGGCTTAAAATCTATGAAAACATCCCCCCTTTTTTTTTCTCAGGCTGGGAATTGTGCCTCCTGCTGTATGGTTCCTGTGTCCTTGAAGATCCAGGTATTGTGGGCTGAGGTGGGCCTCCAGTCCAACCCACAAAGTCAAGTGCTGGGAGCACGTTATTGGTATCAGTGTCAGTCTCTGAAGGTATAGTACCATTATTATGCATCTCCACCCCCAAAGGCCATAACATGGGGGATATGGGTTACATGAAGTCTGAGGGATCCTTCATATAGCTCTGGTATTGAAGGGTTGGAGTTCACGGGATCTTACCATTTGTCCACATAGATTGGCAAGATTACTTCCACATTGCCAGCCACCTGGCCTATAGTAAGTACCTGAGATTTATGATAGAGTTGAATCAGTATTGGTACAAGGTATGGCAATTTGGACTCTTTACGGCGTCAAGGATCTTCACAAAATACCTTGTGGGGGTAATGGCTCACCTGAGGAGTCAAGGTATTCATATCAATGCCTATTTGGACAACTGGCTGATCTGGGGCAGGTCACAACGGGAGACCTCAGCGAGCTGGGACTGCGCTTTGTCCCTATTCAATTGCGTGAGACTTCTAGTGAACTGCAAAAAGTTGTCACTCATGCTGTCGCAGATAATAGCAGCTCTATGAATGCTAATCGACTTGACGTTAGAAAGAGTGCACTGCCTGAGGACAGGTTCCAGTTGCTACAAGGACTCTTACTTCATTTTATGTCACAACTAACCACAACAGTACAAATATGCCTCGTAGTGCTAGGCCACATGTTGGTATGCATATATATGACACCACTTGCCAGACTTTGCTTGTGTACCCTCCAGTTCTGGCTCAAGGCTCTCTATTCGTCGATGAAACATCCAATAGCCAAGAAGGTCAAAGTACTACATCATGTCATTGCAGAACTGGTTTTGTGGCTTGAACCTGCAATCACATGGAAAGGGGTCCCTTTTTCAATCCCCTTGTGACGAAGTGGGACTGTTCTTAATGTTTCCTCTGAATACTGTAGGGGTGCCTCGGTTTCCCCTATGCATTTCGTAAGTCTCTAGGTGGTGGGATAAGGGAGTATAATTGTTGCAGAGCAAAGGGCCAGCACTCTGTTTCCTGGCAACTGATGGCCTGGGCCCTTCCCCCCTGCAAGGTGATAGCTAAAGGGTTGGAAAACAAAGGAATCAGGTGACCTCCTGGCCCGGGAAAGGGACAAAGCCCAGAGGAGGAGGGGCTGAAGGGTGAGTCAGTTGGGAGCTGGCTGGGGATGAGGAGTGAAGTGCAGACATGGTTGTCTGGCTCACTGCCCCCCAAAATGGACCCAGCTGAGGGGTCCTGTTCTCCGTACCTACAAGCTCCGTTTTAAACTGTGTTCCTGTCATCTAATAAATGTCTGTTTTACTGGCTGGCTAAGAGTCACATATGACTGAGAAGTTGGGGTGCAGGACCATCTGGCTTCCCCAGGACCCCGCCTGGGTGGACTCACTGTGGGAAATGCACAGAGGGGCAGAGGATGCTGAATGCTCCAAGGTCAGACCCAGGAAAGTGGAAGCTGTGTGAGCTTTTTGCCCTGAAGACAATCTGCTCGTAGAGAGGAGACTTCCCCAGAGTCCTGACTGGCTTCGTAGGGAGCAGTTCCAGAGCATTGCCCAGGGACTCTGTGACACCCCTCCCAAACAAAGACCCTGCTCATGGATGCATCAGTGACAAGTTGGGGAACTCACTTGGACCACTTGCAGATCAAAGACATCTGATCTCCAAATGACATGGGGCTTCATGTGAATGTTGTAGATCTCTGAGCCATCAGACTAGCTTGTCTGGCATTCCTGCCTGTCCTCAAACTCGATAATTCAGGTCTTTGCAGACAATATGACAGCTATGCAACAACATAAACAAGCAACAGGGCACCTGCTCCTTGCTCCTCTGCCAAGAGGCCACTGATTTTTGGAATTGGTACCATGAGAATGTGGTAAGACCAATGTCTCTTCACCTCCCGGGAATCAGCAACAACTTAGAAGACTTCGTAAGCAGGACAGTCAGTGACCAACCAGGAATGGTCATTACACAGATCCATCATAGAACTGATATTCCATCCGCGGGGACTCCCATGAGAGACTTTTTTGCCATTAAGGACAATGCAAAATGCAAGAGCTTTTGCTCCACAAGAGTCCTGAGTCCAAGGATGCTAACAGATGCCTTCTTGCTACAGTGTAACAAGGGCTTGCTTGTATGCCTTCACACCAATTCCCTTCATTCCCAGGGTGATTTCCAAAATCAAGAGACAAAGCTACAATCTTTCTGGTGCCTTAAATATGGGCCAAGTCAGTTCTGGCTCACAGACCTATTCCAGATGTCCATTCAGCTTCTGATCCATCTCTCAGACAGCCTGGATCTGATCTTGCAGCATTGTGGCCAGACACATCATGCAGACCAGAGTCTCTGCACCTGATGGTATAGCTAGTGGGTGGCTGACCACCACACAGAGAAACTGCTCCATACAAGTCCAGGAAAACATCTACCAGAAGGACATATTCTTGCATGGTAAATAGGTTCTCACTATGCATAGCCCAAAATGGCCTAGACCCAGCCCAGGCCTCAGTACCAAAGATCCTTGAAGACTTACTGTAGCTCAAGCAGACAGGTCTCTTATTCGGTTCTACTGAAGTCCACCTCACAGTGATTTCAACTTATCACCTGCCTGTGCAGTCATGTTTGGTCTTCTCTCACCCCATGGTATCAAAGTTTCTTAAAGGGCTACTACATGCTCAAACACTGGTCAGAGAACCCACTCCTGCCTGGGACCTCAGTGTACTCCTCTTGAGACTGATGGAGCCTCTCGTTGAGCTTCTCTCAGAATGCTTCCTGGGACCACCTCACTCTGAAAACAGAAAGAAAAGGAGTACTCGTGGCACCTTAGAGTTAGTCTCTAAGATGCCACAAGAACTCCTTTTGTTTTTGCGAATACAGACTAACATGGCTGCTACTCTGAAACTCTGAAAACAGTCTTCCTAGTCGCTATCACTTCAGTCAGAAGAGTAAGTGAGCTTCAGGCGCTCCTGGCTGAACCCAAATGCAGTTCCATTGGAATAAGGTGATGCTGAGATCTCATCAGAACTTCCTCTCCAATGTGGTCTCAAAATTCCATCTGAGCCTATCCATCCACTTGCCTGTCTCCTTCCGAAAAGCACATTTATCACTGGGAGAATAGAAATTACACACACTTGTCATTTCCAGGTCTCTGCTCTATTGACAGAACAAAATCATTCCACCTGTCAATCCTGTCTCTTTCTCCCTATACCAGAGCATTCAAAAGGTCAACTTCTTTCATCTCAAAGAATATTGAAACAGATCACATGATGCATCCTCATGTTATTAGTTGGCTAGTGTACCTCTCCCACTAAATATCAAGGCTAACTCCACCAGCATTCAAGTGATTTCTTCCACCTTTTTCAGACATGTGCCACTATCAGACATCTGCAAGGCAGAAATGTGGAGTAAACCACTGACCTTTGTCAAGCACTGTGCCTTGGATTTAGCTGATCAGATGCCAAGTTTAGGAGAGTAGAACTGTGATGCTGTATGGAATCTGGGAGATACTTGTGGATATTATGAATATCAATATTGTAAAATTGTAATGAGTTGTGCCAGATATGCCATGTAAGGTATCTGCAAAAATGTTGTAATTTGCCAGATATGATAATCTCATTTATGTGTTTGTATCACCTTTGTATTATGAGTTATAGATATATATGTATGTCTGTATTTCAAACTTGTGCTGTGCTTCTGGGTGACACCCCCAGACAGTTTGGCATCAGTACTGCCTAGCCTGCTTGATGGCCCATTAAGGACCATCAGCTATACAACTGACCCATTGAGAGACAGCAGAGAATACACCTTATGACTCAGCAAGGGCATGCATGCATGCATGGGCATGCCTATGGACAGAAAAGGTCCTCCAAGCCTTGTGCTGGGCAGCTTGTGTTGGAAACAAAGGAAGCACAGGGCGCATGGCAAAATAGAATCATAGAATATCAGGGTTGGAAGGGACCTCAGGAGGTCATCTAGTTCAACCTCCTGCTCAAAGCAGGACCAATCCCCAACTAAATCATCCCAGCCAGGGCTTTGTCAAGCCAGGCCTTAAAAACTTGTAAGGAAAGAGATTCCACCACCTCCCTAGGTAATGCATTCCAGTGCTTCACCACCCTCCGAGTGAAAAAGTTTTTCCTAATATCCAACCTAAACCTCCCCCACTGCAACTTGAGACCATTACTCCTTGTTCTGTCATCAGCTACCACTGAGAACAGTCTAGATCTAAATACTATAAAAGACAGCTGCATCTTCTCCATTTTGTCTTCAATCCTGCTTCTTACCTCTGGAGGAACTTTGCTACAAACTGAAGCTCTGAATAAAGACTGAATGATCCATCCAAGCTGTGGATGTATTCCAGAGGGACTTTCAAGTCAGCAAACTCACCAATACTGCTAGGAACCTGATATATGGACTTTGAAGTCTTTGTATGTATGTGACTGCTTTACCCTTTAACGTCTCTCTTGTTCTTTCTTTTTTCTTTATAATAAACCTTTTGTTTTAGACACTAAGGGATTGGCTGGCAGTGTGGTATTTTGGGTAAGATCCAAACCTATACTGATCTGGTAACATGGCTGACCCTTTGGGGTCAGAAGAACATTTTGTATATGTGGGCAGAGTTTTTTAAATAACTTCTCACTGTATTGGGCCTAGGTGCTGATTGGGAGCCAGAGAATTGGAATGCAATAAAGGGGGCTTTGTGATTTCTTTTTTTTTGCTTCTTGATAACCAGTGTGGGGGATCAGAAGCACAGTTTGTGACTGGTTGGGGAGTGTAACTTCAGTATTACCCACCAGTCTTGGGAGTATCTGCTCTTCCTTTTGCAGCTTGCCCTGATCTTGGCATTTCTAGTGAGGGCTGCCCCAATCACAATGGGTCACAAGAACTACAATCCTTATTTGACTGATGCAGCTAGAATTCCTCATTCCCTCTGTCCTGAGGGGATATTGCTTGCCAATCACCTAAGTAGGGCTCCATACTGATACATAGTGGAAGAAAGGATAGTTACTTACGCTACATGCATCCGATGAAATAAGCTGTAGCTCACGAAAGCTTATGCTCAAACAAATTGGTTAGTCTCTAAGGTGCCACAAGTACTCCTTTTCTTTTTGCTACAGTAACTGTGATTCTTCTAGATGTTGTCAGTGTGGATCTCATGACCTGCTCTCAGAGTCCTTGGTTACTAGGAGCTTCAGATTGTGAGGGAACCGAGAGAAGGTCATGGCTGCTCTGCCTTTTGTGCCCTGTCATGGGAGCATGAGGTAGTACAGGGTGCATGTGTGACCCCAATGGACACAGCAATAAAAAAAAAAGTCTGGTTTTGTATGTATGAGGTGCATGCACACCGTACAGTGGGAACCACACTGACAAAAACATCTAGGAGAACCACAGCTACTGCAGGGTAAGTAACTATTCTTCTTCTACACTGCTCTGTAAAGTGTCCCAGTTCTTCATTCTGAAGGGGAAAGGGAAAGGGGTATACCCACACATGAAAGTACTACATTTCTCTTATACCTCATCAAAACACTTCCCTGTGGTATGCCTGACCACAGTGTCAGAGTTCTTTTCACTTTGAAAATATGATCTATCTACAGGGGATGGTAGTAATAGCTAGTGGAGACTGCTTGCTATTTGGAGCCTCACCAGTCATTTTGGGCAGCCTTTACCTCTGCAGAAACATGCCCTATGTTGGAAGATGCATCTGTGGCTCTGGGAATGCTAAGCTGTTGGTGTTTTCCTTTTCCTGCAGTCCCTCAGCATGACCATGGTGCCTTTGACAACCGTCGTTGCCTTCACTGACATGACAGAATGGCCAGAGCCTCCACGTAGCCAGCCCAGCACGTACTGGAAACTCCCATTTGACTTCTTTTTCCCCTTCAAGGTTGCACTGAATGGGGGGATAAGCTGTCAAGGAGACCTGGCTGGTGCTTTCCTGATGTCTCTCACATTCTGCAGCATTCTCAGCTTCTGAAGAGAATGAAGTCTGGTGCTCAGCTCCTCATGGCAACATTTATGCCCAGATAGTACCAGAGAGCTCACTCCATCCTGCTGTATCCTGGTGTCATATCTGGTGCCAGTTCCTCACCTGGGTGAGACAATACGAGAGATACAGTGACCTAAATGATTCCTCTTTGTTCTTGTGAACAGCAAAGAAAGTGTTTATCTGACAGCTAGAAAAGGCAGGTGTTTCAGGGAATCCTGTTAATGTAATGGTACAGTCAGAATATGATGCAGACCAAAGACTCTTCCATTCTGTTCAGGTTCTCACCCTGTGCCTATCATCATGCTATCCCTATTCCTTCCTGTAGTGCATTGTGACATGATTAACATCTGTCACCTGTGATTCTTCCATGTCTGCAATCCCTTTATGCAGATTTGTGAAGGTCAACCCAGCGTTGCTCATGGGGGATGGGAGGGCAGAAGGAGCAGTCTCTGTGTGGAACAAAGAGGAGAGAGGGAATGAAAAGGAACTCTCTTTATTCTGTCCCCTACAAGAAGGAAAAGTCCCTTCTGAGCTGAGCAGTATGGAGAAAAGTGTGGCTTTCATTTCTAGTTTCCCTCCCTATTGGTGGGGAGTCTGGAGCTCACTTGTTCAGCTCCCTGTTACAGAAGGGCCTCATCTTTCCATGTGGAATTGTAAATAATACATTTTAAATCTGATATAATTTATCCAGTGATGGTTTCAATAGAAACTATCAGTGCCTCTGTGACTGTCTTTAGAATGTATGCCTTTGTTAGGGGATCTGAATTATTATTCAGTGAGTGGTACTATAATGACCTATCTACTAGTCTCCTCTGGCCCATTTTAAATAAGCTGGCCTTGTGCATCTGTGTCAATCTTTATCTCTTTTTTTTGTGTTAATCTCTTCAAATAAAATTATCAATTGAACATGCATTACTTTATAAAAATGTTTTTATTTGCAAGATGAATATGCAAGACACAAGGAATTATGGAGGTTCCGTCCTTTGGGATTACTGTCCTGGGAATTTTATGCCCAGGTATCTTGACAGCTCTCCTTTCCACCCTTACAGCTCTTCCCTCATGCGTATGGGCTCAGTGCCACACTCCCCACCTGTGGTGGTTTAGGAATCTCTAAAACTGGGAAGTACTACTGCTTCAGGTCCAAGCAGAGGCTATACTGGCAGTGACAGCCATCGTGAATGTTGGATGATGTATAGGAGATGGGCCATTGTGAGCAGTTGGAGATCAAAGTTAATTATTTTAGAACAGGTTTGCAACTTATTATGGGGCTGCAGTGTCATGCAACACCTAGGGTTTGACCCTGGCCTCCTGTGTCTCAGTGACATTTCATAGATTTCAGGGCTGGAAAAGACCTCTATTATCTTGGGATAAATGAAGGGGGCAGGTGGGGGGGGGGTGGTAGCTTCCTTTTATGGACACCCAGCCAGCCAGTTAGCTATAAAATCACTCTTGGTAGCTGTTCTCTACTTGCTTTACCTGTAAAGGGTTAAAAAGCCCATAGGTAAAAAAAAGGGAGCGGGCACCTGACCAAAAGAGCCAATGGGAGGGCTAGAACTTTTTAAAATTGGGGAAAAAACTTCCCTTTGTCTGTCTGTTGTTCTCCAGAGAGAGGGCAGAGCAGAGACAGAGCTGGGACTGTGCTATAAGAGGTTTGAGCCAGGTATGGAAAACCATCAAATCATACCTAGGAATTGCTTATCTGAAACCCCAGATATGTAAGTAAATCAGGGAATGTCTAGGAAGATGCAATTAGGGTTATTTCTTCTCAGCTTGTGGACTCCTCTGTGCTAACCCCAGGTGCTTTTATTTTGCTTGTAACCTTTAAGCTGGATATCAAGAAACCATTCTTGATGCTTAATTATTATATTTGCTTTTTTTAAATCTAGCAATAGCCTAAATTGCAGATATATATATATATATTTTTGTTTTTAATAAAATTTACCTTTTTAAAGAACAGGATTGGCTTTTTTGTGTCCTAAGAGGTTTGTGCATATGTTGTTTAATTAGCTGGTGGCAACAGCTGATTTCCTTTGTTTTCTTTCTCAGCTCTTCCCCAGAGTGGGGGTGAAAGGGCTTGAGGGTACCCAACAGGAAGGAATTCCCAAGTGCTTTTTCCTGGGTTCTCAAAAGGGGTTTTTTGCACTTGGGTGGTGGCAGCATCTACCCATCCAAGGTCAGAGAAAAGCTGTAACCTTGGGAGTTTAATACTAGCCTGGAGTGGCCAGTATTAATTTTTTAGAATCCTTGTGGGCCCCCACCTTCTGTACTCAAAGTTCCAGAGTGGGGAATCAGCCTTGACAGATCTATTCAAGGTGTGGTCAAACCACAGTTCGTGAGCTGTATGTGTCTCTTTTACAGTTAAAGTGGAGCTCACGAGCTGAAGCCCCGAGCCCTGACTAAAATCCCAAGACACCCCCCCCGACCCTCCCCACACACACACACAGCTGGTAGGCAGAGAATGTATGTGTGGGGCCTCCAGGAAATACTTCAAAAGATTTTAAGCCCTGAGCTACCGTGAGAGTGAGGCCAATAGAAAGAGAAGCTCTCACATGTGCATTATATCAGGAAATTGCATCATTCTGTTTTCAGAATGTTGTGCTGACCTCGTGTGCTCACTATCTCCCTGCATTCCACAGAATACAGGCTGTGTTTACTGTTCACAAATCTCATTTGAATAGTTTTAGATTTAAGTGTTAACTCTATGTTAATTTTGTGGATGACAATGATATCTTCAAATTGTAAGAAATGCAAGCATGAAGAAGAAAACTGAAGTTTTAAGCCAGAATGGGAGGAAGATTTTGCATTCACTGTTAAAGGTGGCAAACCCCTGTGCCTTAACTGCAATGCATTGCTCACTCACTACAAAGCGAGCAATTTGAAATGTTACTACAAAATGAATCACAATTTTTCATCTAAATACCCTCCTGAATCAGAATTAAGGGTAAACAAGCATTAAAATCATGCCTAAACAGTCAGACTACACTTGGTGTTCAATAAGGAAGCTGACAATGAGCAAAGCTAGTTTTATTAGTCATGGTATATCACTCATGCTAAATGTCCATATTGTGATGGAGAATTTGTTAAGAAGAATGTTGCAGGAGTGGTTGCAATTTTAGATCCAAGTAACACAAAACTTAATGACTAATAAAGCAAATTCTAATTTTGTGCCATAGTGCAGAGAGGCAGATCTCCCAGATCAGTGATGATGTTGCAAGCAAGATGCAAAATGATCTAAAGAATTCTCAATGAATCCACAGATATACAAGATAAACCACAACTAGTGATATTTGTTCACTATGTTTTCACTGATGTAATTGCGAGAGAAGAAATGTTGGACTGTAGCATAACGTGCACTCATTGCCACAGCACCTCTTGCCGGTCATCTGGGAATTAGCTCATCCCAGCCTCAGAGCACCTCCTGCTGGCTGGTGTCTCCCTACGGGTACCTGCTTCCTGCTCAATCTCCACCACTTATAGTATTTCTGACTACATGTCCCTCACCGGCCTGCAGTGCCCCTTCTCCTGGGTACTGCCCGCAGCAGTACCCTCACACTCAGGGTCCTCCCCTCCCCAGGGAACCCCAATCCTCTAAGCCCATCTTGCCTTAATGACCCACTGCCAGTCTTCATCTAGGCCCTTCCCTCAGGGGCAAATTGCAGTCCAAAATGGCCACTGATCATCAGCCAGGGGGTCGGACCTGCTGCCTCCCCACAGCCCTAATACCTGCCCCTGCCCCTGCCCCTGCCCCTGCCCCTGCCCCTGCCCCTGCCCCTGCCCCTGCCCCTGCCCCTGCCCCTGCCCCTGCCCCTGCCCCTGCCCCTGCCCCTTTCTCTATCTAGCAGCCAGGTCCATCTCTCTCCAAGACTGGAGAGAGACTGACTATCCCTTCTGGTCTTCTCCCTTTTATACTGGCTTAGCCAGCTCTGATTGGCTGTCTCCCAGGCTTCTCTGATTGGCTCTCAGCCCCAGCCCCCTCCAAGGGCTGGCTTTTAACCCTTTCTGAGCCGGAGCAGGGTGACCGCCCCGCTACATGGACTTAGTGGTGCTAAAAGAAACAACCCACAGTGTTGATGTAAAGAATGCACTGGACAAAGCACTGACAAATGCTGATGTTCCACTGGATAAACCTGTCAGTGTTGCAATGGATGGAGCACCTGCAATGGTGGTGGTGGGGGGGAAGTAGGCCTTATCAGACTCTTGAAAAGTGATCCCAAATTTCTGGAATTTCTCCCTCTTCATTGCATAATCCATGGTGAGGATCTCACAGGCAGATACTTCAACTACAAAAGTGGTCCTAGAAATTGTCAGTTTCATCTGCTCAAATGGGAAGACTCCGTGACACTCAAAAATTTCATCGAAGAGCTGGAACTTGAAGACAAACCTAATGACATCTCTTTCTAATGTATTGTGAGGTGGTTATCAACCACCAGTGTCTTAAATAGGTTTGTGGAACTGTTGGAGCCTATCAATGCTTTCCTCGAAGAAAAGGAAATGTCTTATCCACAATTGGAAGATGAGCAATGGATGCAGGATCTGATATTTTTCACTGATATTATGCAGCATCTGCAAACTCTCAATTTGGCACTCCAAGGGAAAGAGAAGGTTATTTCTGTCCTTATTCACACAGTCTTCAGCTTCCAGAACAAGTTCTGAAAGGAGACATAATGCTAAGAGACTTCAACAAGTTTCCATATCTCAAAAGTAGGGTAAACGCAATTCCTGAAATGGAAGTAGATCACAAACTCGAGGAATACAGAGGTAAATTACAAGGATTGCTTGATGAATTTCAGACCAGGTTTGAAGACTTGCAGAAGTTGAGATCCTGCTTTGCCTTTCTTGTAAACCCTGATGTGATCAACAATAGCTGTCCAATTCCCAAAACTGTGGTTACAGAAATATTTACTGTAAAATGGAACTACTGGAATGCCAGGAGGACAGGGTTCTAAAGATGATGCATAAATCAGAATCTATAATCGTGAAATGCTCCGGGAGATTAGAGAGGCTATTAATATAAAAAACTCAATAATGGGAGATTTCAACTATCCCCATATTGACTGGGTCGTCACCTCAGGCCGGGATGCATTGACACCTTAAATGACTGCTTCTTGGAGCAGCTAGTCCTGGAACCCACAAGAGGAGAGGCAATTCTTGATGTAGTCCTAAGTAGAGCACAGGATCTGGTCCAAGAAGTGAATATAGCTGGACCACCAACATCCCTTTGGTGGGGAAAACACCACAGGAGCCCAACACTGTAGCATTTAATTTCAGAAAAAAGGACTACACAAAAATGAGGAAGTTAGTGAAACAGAAATTAAAAGGTACAGCGCAAAAAGTGAAATCCCGGCAAACTGCATGGAAACTTTGTAAAGACACCATAATAGACGCTCAACTTAAATGTATATCCCAAATTAAAAAACATAATAAGAGAACCAAAAAAGTGCCACTGTGGCTAAACAACGAAGTAAAAGAAGCAGTGAGAGGCAAAAAGGCATCCCTTAAAAAGTGGAAGTTAAATTAGAGTGAGGAAAATAGAAAGGAGCATAAACTCTGGCAAATGAAGTGTAAAAATATAATTAGGAAGGCCAAAAAAGAATTTGAAGAATAGCTAGCCAAAGACTCAAAAATAATAAAAAATGTTTTCAAGTACATCAGAAGCAGGAAGCCTGCTGAACAACCAGAGGGGCCACTGGATGATCAAGATGCTAAAGGAGCACTCAAGGACAATAAGGCCATTGCAGAGAAACTAAATTAATTCTTTGCATGGTCCTCGCGGCTGAGGAATCATAGAATCATAGAATATCAGGGTTGGAAGGGACCTCAGGAGGTCATCTAGTCCAACCCCCTGCTCAAAGCAGGACCAATCCCCAATTAAATCACCCCAGCCAGGGCTTTGTCAAGCCTGACCTTAAAAA